GGAACTTGTGTACCTCTGTACCGGACAAACAGCTACAAGTGTCGCTGTACGAAACCATACACAGGAAGCCACTGCGAAAAAGGTAAAGTTTTGGTTTCTAAAACAATATTTTCAGAAATATTTCGCGCGCGTGCTTGTCGTATCTGATTCCAAAAGAGCCATCACTCGTCTCCATTTGACTTCACTCTGACTTACTTTTGCAAACAAAAATTTTCCAATGATTATTTACTTTCTCTATTCTTTTTACATCAGTTGATAATGACTGCAGTTGTTCATCAGGACCAGAAGGAAAACAGAGATGCAAAATAGGTCAGTTATTATCTCGCCTTCGAGTTAAGGTAGCTTGAAATAGCTTTCCGAGACACCTATACCGGATATATATAAAAAGCCCTAAAAAGCGCCCTCCCTTTACGAAGTCATTGGAAAGTCACACTTGTTCACAAAATGATTAAAGTTTTAAGGCAAACGTGACCACAATTGATGCACTTATACATGGGAAAATCCCGTTACACAGTTTTTTGGGTCGATGTCGTAATACCTCCAATATATTTTTTTCTCATCTTAAGAATTTTGTTTTTTGAGCTGGACCTCGCTGTTGAGTGAATTTCATCACATTAAACTGAGTCGTTTCAAAATCATGACTCCGTTGAGTTTACTCTTTCTCCTTCAAGTCACGTGGATCAATCTAAAATAAACGCAAGCTCCAAATCAACTTTTACTGATTATATCGCAATAGTCTTACGTCTGAAAAATTTTCAACGGGTTCTGAGCTGTTGTGTTAAATTTAAAACAGTTCCTCGTATCGATAAGAAACCGCAAACTAGCCAATTAAGAGTAATTTTCTATCATTACATCATTCATCCACTAATTTCCACTGTTTTGTTTTTTTTCGGAAGTGGCTCTACAAAATTTGTCTTAATTTTGCATTCTTGAAATACAGCACATGTACATTACATTAACTTTTTTGAAGACTCAGAGAAATAGTACCTATTTACCTACGTCGTTTCCCTGTTCAACTGGAAGGTAGAAATTTGACAGCTTTTATCTTTTCCTTTTGTTCTGAGCAAAATGCCGTCAACTCTAATTTGCATAGGTCTGCATGCGTCACAGTTTCCTAACACGTTTTCGTCGGCTGAAAATGCAAATGTATGGCGGACAATGTATATACGTTTTTGACCATGACAACTGAATGTTAACTTCGTTCTCTTTTGCCCTTTTTATGGACTTTGACATCCCCTCGGTCCATGAAAAAAGGGAGAAAAAGAGCGAAGCGAATGTCCTGTCATCTTGACTGAACAAGCTTTGTCAATAAAGGATTTTTAGCAAACGATTTCGTTTTATTTTAAAAGAAGCAAGAATGATATTTTTACTTCCAGAGCCGAGAAAGAAAGCCAAATGTGTTTGTAGCACAATAAACCCACGACAGTCGTTTATGTTTTCTTTGTTTTGTCTGTCCTCAGCTGATTTTTGCGACTCCACCGCCGGCATTGTCGAAAAATTGCTAACTCTGTTAGTCCACTCGGGTAGCCAATCGGATCTCAGGATTCGCTTCAGTTTCCTATTTCCCTACTATGGAGAAAAAGAAATTATCTCGGAAAATGAAAATTCAACTTGACGGCATGGTCTGAAAAATTCTTACAATGCCAAAGAATACGTTGAAAATCCGTTAGATGAAAAGTTATTGCTACAAATTCAACAAACTTGTTTTAGAGCTCGGTTTTTGAATAACTTCGCCTGGAAGCTGAAAAATTAAGAGTAATTTTGAAAGAGCTTGATTTAATTTGTTGCCTTCTTCACCCTGCGCATAAGGGAAGGTACGTTTTTTCTCGGTGGGGGTAGGGCTGGGACCTCGGAGGGGAGGGTCATCTGTAAAAGTAAACAAAGAGAGGGTCGTACCTCTTTATAGGCTTTTTAAGGGGAGGATTACACATCTTATGCAGAATTTTTCTTTTTTGTGATGTTGCTTTCTATTATTCTTACAGATAAAGTTTTTTCTTTTCACTACTTTGATTTTAATTTGATGTTTTATTATAGGTTCTATGCTACATTTCTACGTGTATATTATGCTATGGCACATAGTTTTCTCAGAGGACTCTTGTCCTTTTCCATCCATATCGAGACGTACTAGACTCAGGTATCGTTTCTTCAGCTTCTTGCTTCTGTTGACTATCCGCTGCCTGATCTCCTGAGTCATTTAGTTCTGAATAGTTACTTCTAGATTCAACAAAGCGCTCTACCCTGTCACTGTCACTGTCAGACTCTGACGTTGAGTCAGAGGCTGGTTTAATGTTGTTTAGACTGTCCTGCACTATAAAGGGCCAAAATCTTACCGCCTTCACCACCCTCACTTTTTCATATTTCTTTACTTGAAATGCAATATTGTGGTGATTAATATAAAGTTCAAGTTTACCTACTCTGAGGGAAGCCAACTGATCTACGTAATAGAGATCTTCTCAGTCAATATCATTGTATTCCTGTTGCTTTCTGTTCGCTGCTTATCTTTTCGTTTTTCAATATCAGTTAGATGCACAATAAAATATGCAACAAGCTTTTTGAAACCATGTATTTTTCAGAAACCTGTTTAATTGCCTTTTTATCCCCTGCTTTGAGCTTACCCTCTTGAAACATCTGTTTTATTTGAGCTCGAGGCTGATAATAATCGGGTTTGCGGCCACTCGTAGGTGTTTTCGTACCTGGTAAGCGGTAAAAGTCGGGAAGTTTGCTGTAATCGGGATAGGGTCGTGGAGTTGGTGTAGCTGGAGAAGGAATTACCAAGTCTCAAAGTTTATGCTTCCATATTCAAACTTCAGCTCTAAAACACTGACTGTTCGCATTTTCTTGTTTTAGCTTGCTCACATTCAATATCGAGATGTATTTATATTCAAACATTTTGCGTCCACAAGCGAAATTTCGTGAGGTTTCTATGGCATAGAACCTACCGTGTAGTAGTGAGGGGAGGGTCGCACTTTTTTCAGTAACCTAAAGGTGGGGGGTCAGGAGTATTTTTTCTTTTATTAACACGCAAGGGAGGGCTAACACTTCTTTTAGAAAAAAAATACCAAAATTTCCCAACCCCCCCCCCCCCCCCCCCCACTCCCAAGAAAAAACGTACCTTCCCTAATTATGACATCTATTCAACGATTCTTCATATTCTACATTGTCAATAACTGCATAATGGCCTTAGATATTTGATGAGGATGCAGCCCGAACCAGCTACCTTGCAAAGAAAGCGGGGCAGAGTATGAGTTACCTAGGTAGAACTGCGGGTCAGACAAAACTTGACAACAAGACGGGATGGAGTCTTATTCTATTTTGCTTACAATTGAACGCTGCTGGGCTATCGTCCCCGATAAGCGTGCGGCATTTCTGAAGAACACCAGAAGATTTATACAAATACTGGATACTTCTGGAATGGGAAAATTTATTAAACAAGCACAGTTTCTCAAACAACTGTCTAAAATTTCTGCAATTCATTTCCTCTCTTATAGAGTACCTTATGGTGTTTCCCGAGCTGCGTTCTACAGAAAATTACGCCATGAAGAATCCAGCCATAGCTTCAGATCTCAGCCAGTTGTCGCTGTGTTTTTTCATCAAACTTGTTCAAGACCAAGGGGATCAGATAGTCGTCAGCTATGCCCGTGTTCATAGCAACGACATGATTGTCGAGATTTATCCAACACGAACAGAGTTTTATGTTGGCTTCAAGATGTTCCGGTAATGCTGCATATATTTTTTTAGATGCCGCTCGGGGAATTTCTTTTTCGAGCCACAATAAGTCATGTTACAGGAAATGCTACGATTGGCTTCTTTCTAATGCTTGGAGAGAGAGAGAGAAAATTGAACATACAAACAAACGAAAATCCTTGGCTTCTTTCTCTTTACTTATCATAATTTAAATACCAACTATGTTAATCTTTGACCAAAACAAATCTAGACGTATTTTCCTTACGCTTTGCAAATAACTATTTGGGTCTTTTTTTTTTTTTGAAATTTGATTTAGATCACTATGCTCAGTAGGGCATAATAGTCGTCTTTCCAGTGACGGGGACTCGCTTAATATGGTTCTAGCCATAAAAGTATGAGGTTTCTTAACCGACCCGGCTTTCAAAATAGTAGCTCAGATGATACTTTGATATAGCGGAGATAAAATTACCTCAGTAAGCATTTTATAAGTAGAGAGAGGCGTTTTTCGTCTTGTCACGAGCGTGGGACAAAGAAAAAATTCTGAGTTCCCATGAGGAATCGAACTTCAGACCTTCAGACTCCGCGTTCCGATGCTCTACCACTGAGCCACAGAGACGCTACAATGAGCGATGACTCTATTTTATAAGTAATTGCATGAATAAGAGATTAACTGAAAGAATGAAAACACTGAACGAATCGAAGCCTGAATGTATGAACGATTAAGTCATTGATAAAAGATTGATTGACTGATTGAAAGTTTACTGACTGTTTTACTGATTGACTTGCTAACAGGCTGACTGACAGATTGACTGACTGACAGGCTAATTATATGTTGTTATAAACTGACTGACTACAGACTGACAGACTGAACGACTCTACTGACTGACTTAGTGACAATTGAAAAGGAGGGTCTTAAATGACCAGATATTTTAATATTGTTTTTTTTCTGTTTTTTTGTTTTGTTTTGTTTTTTGTTTTTGTTTTTATTTTTGTTTTTATTTTTTTTTTTAGTTTTACCTCGACAAATCTCTACGATGATACCTGGCAACACGTGTGTCTCACCTGGGAAAACACTCAAGGAGTAACGAAACTCTATAAAGATGGCCAATTTACCGGACATGTAACAAATAATGAAACTAAGAACTATACACTTAAGGCTGGCGGCGCTCTGGTGCTTGGACAAGAGCAGGACTCTATTGGCGGAGGCTTTAATCGTAAGCAAACTCTTCATGGCCGATTGGCAAGTATCAACATGTGGGATAAAGTGCTGTCCGAAAGCGACATTGCCGCTCAGTACACAAATTGCAGCGTACCTCATGGTTCTGTTTTTAACTGGTCTGTATTCAAAAGTCTTACTCGTGGCAATGTCACAGTTGAAGAGCCGTGAATTAAATCGTTTAGTGATCATAAAGTCAAAACCCATAACTCACGTCATGTAAAAAATTCCTTGTGTTAGTGTATTTACTATAGGCATGACTAAATCACGTGGTATACGTACAAATTAGATAGCGAAAGTTAAACACGATAAAATTGAGCAAAGAAAACTCAAGGAACAGAGATGTATGTTCCTGATCCAGGCCAAGATCCAAAATACGTGATCTCCACTAAAAGTATTTATAGACAGTCCCTCGCACGAACAGGTCGGTATGAGGGCTAACCTCGATCGTATGCACAGAGATAGGAAAGGAACTAGTATTTTACACGAGATACTATTTGAATGTTTGACTTTCCAATTTTGAAGCCACTGTTGTTTCCGGGGGAAGTGGAACGTTCTGGGACAGCTTCAATTCAGACAGTTTTTGAAGTATTGAAAACATGAAAAAGGATAAGCGGTAACAACTTTCTCTTTTCAAACAACTCTTGCTGCACTGCTTGTACTACTTAAAAGCATTAAAACATCTGTAAAAGTTTACGAATTTCTTTCCACTTTTTCAATTTCCGAAAATCTTACTCATGGCAATGTTGCAGTTGAAGAGCCGTGAACTACATTGGTCAGTGATCAAAACTCTTGCAGAGCCTAAAATCATAATTCGCGTGATGTAAATTCCGAATATTAGTGAATGTACCATATGCATGGCATAGTAAAAAAATATATACCAAAAATGTTAGTTAGCCAGTTATTTGTAAAATGTTTCATTCGTTTATTTATTCACCTATTTACTTAGTTTTTTCATAAAAAATATTAAGATAAGAGGTAAATTTAAGGAGACCGGTGTTTGCCATAAAGTTAACACAGCACATGGCAATGTTGCAGTTGAAGAGCCGTAAACTACATTGGTCAGTAATCAACTCTTACAAAGCCTAAAATCATAACTTGCGTGATGTAAATTCCTAATATTAGTGAATGTACCATATGCATGGTATAGCACTAAAATAGATATTAAAATATGAAATGATATTTCGTCGAAACGCTGCTTTTGGCCAGTTATTTGTAAAACATTTCATTTATTTATTCACCTCTTTACTCAGTTGTTTGATCAAATATATCTAAGTTTTAAGGTGACCGGTGTTTGCCATAAAGTTAACGTTAAGACAGTTACTTGTTTTATTGTAAGCAGCCTTAACAACATAACACGTTTCTTCTCTGTTCTAATTCATTCATAACACTTGAGAAGAAATTAAGAGGTCCTTTAAAGATCTTTCAAGATCCCAAAGAAATTTCAAACATTGAGAGGCTGACAGGACGAGCGCAAATACTTTGAATGTGCGCCCATGAAAGTCTTCTAGGATGATTATCGCATGTGCCCTATTGCATATATATGATAAGTTGCGACTATGAGAAAAGCCGGCATGTCCCTAATAAGCCACCGTGTTCTACCGCTTTTTGCAACCTCTTAAAACACTCAGGGTGCTTCTGTACAGATTTCTTGGAGTCCATATTACTTGACATCGAAAAACATCGCATGTCCCACAAGGGCCACAGTAGAAGAAAGATATCGGTAAGTTCTTTACAAATCTGATGTATGCTTGCAGTAGTCTAGAAAATTCCAGAATAAAACTTACAGAATCTGGAAATTCTGCTGTTGACATCGTAATTTTAGAACTAGGGTATGTGCTACAGATGGATGGGGGTGGGGGGTGGGCTATGACAAGGTTCGATGTATTAAACTGTTAGAGCGGAAGTTTAGCTGTTGGTTGGCCTACATTATCAATGTTAGCTGTTATGCAGACCCCCTACCCCCTCCCCCCCCTTACTCCATGGTGAACCTTGCATTACATCTCTCCTGTATTGTGTTACATGAAAAGTACATTATCCAAGGCAATTAAGATGAAGAATCTTCTCATGCATGTTTTCGATGTAAATCCTCAGACTCAAGATGAGTATGCTTGAGTATCGTAAAAGCGTGAAAACAAACCTGTAGAAGGAAAGACTAAAAATATCCAAAATAATTCAGAGTAAAATTAGGCTTAGGGCTTCCCAAAGAACAAAAACCCACTCAGCGTTGTCTTCAAGCAACAAAGCTAGATAAATACAATAAAGAAGAAAATTAAATAAACATACGCTCCATTATTTTCTGAAATTTTCCGTGGCAGCAGAACGAGCTGAACTGGAGCTCTTCCCTACTATTATTTATCTCCTGAATTCACACATCAAAATCTAGAGGGCGCTAAAATAATTAACAGAGACTAGGACTGAAAAAAAAAAATAAATCCAGGAGCACTAGAAAACATCTACAGAGACTAACAAGAGCAAAACAGGAGGCCACACGACTAAAAAGGAAGAAAAATATAGTAATTGATGAAAAGATATCGTGTCTAGTTTATCGTGTTGTAAGTTTTCTATTGCCTGCCGTATCTGTTTCCTACTGAGCCATCATTTGTCGTCATTTTACTTCACACTGACTTGTTTTTCAAACAGAAATTTTTCCATTTTAATTCATTTTCTCTTTTCTTTTTGCATCAGTCGATAATGACTGCAGCTGTTTATCAGGACCAGAATGAAAACAGAGATGCAAAATAGGTCAGTTAGTAGTCCACCTTCGAGTTAATATAGCTTGAAACAGTTTTCCGCGACAATAATCATTAAGAATGATTTTGTTTTACCTCGAGGGTCGTGTTTGTAGCACAATAAACCCACGAGATTCTCTTATATTTTTTTAGTTTGGTCTGTCCCCTGCCGATCTTTGCGACTCCACCGCCGGGTAGCCGATTCGCACTCAGGATTCGATTCATATTCTCCACAGGAGCTGCCAGCGATATAAAGCATGATTTCATGTATTGTATTTTGCTGTAGTCTTATCTCCTTCGATACGTGCTTAGTATGAATTAAGTAACAGAAGTTTTTTAGAACTGTCTAAAATCTCTGCAATTATTTTCTCTGTTATAGAGCACCTTATGAAGTTTCCGGAGCTGTGTTCTACAGAAAATTACCCCGTGAAGAATCCATCCATAGATTCAGATCTCATCCAGCTGTCGCTTTGTTTTTCATCAAACTTGTTCCAGACCAATTAATGCAAATGATCTTCAGCTCTGCCACTGAACAAGACTCCAGTGCTATGGCTGTCGAAATACATCCAGCAAAAACATATCATTGCTGGCGACGAACTTTTTTTAATAATGCGGTGTTGATTTTTGAAAACTGGGTCGACGAAGAAAGAAACTTAAACATGCAAACTAACGAAAAGTTTTGGCTTCTTTCTGTTTTCTTAGCATTAATAAAATTCAAAATGTGTTAAGCTATTGCTAAAACAAATCTAGACGTACGCATTTTTCTAACGCTTTGCAGATAACGTTTGGATCCTTTTTGGGGAATTCGAAATATGAATCGGATCAATATGCTAACTAGGGCACAAAAGTTTGTCAATTGTCGAAGGTTCGCATTTTACGGTTCTGGCTCTAAAAGGACGAGTTTTTTTAACCTACCTGGCTTTTGAAATAGTAGCTCACTCAAAGATAGATACTACTTTGATAAAACAATAATAATAATAATAATAATAATAATAATAATAATAATAATAATGGGAACAATGAGAATTGGATAGTTGATATTCCATGAGGTGGCTCTCCTTGTCCACTGCTTCCTAGTCGAATTGGAATGTAGAAATTTTGGTTTTATGTGGAGGGAGAAAAGCCCTCGTAGCAAAACTCTTCATGGCCGATTGGCAAGTGTCAACATATGGGATAAGGTTCTTTCCGAAAGCGACATTGCCGCTCAGTACACAAACTGCAGCGTATCTCATGGTTCTGTTCTTAACTGGTCTGCATTCAAAAATCTTATTCATGGCAGTGTCACAGTTGAAGAGCCCTGAACTATATTGGTCAATGATCAAAACTTCTGCAGAGCCTAAAATCAAAGCTCACGTGATATAAATTCTTAGTATTAGTGAATGTACCATATGCATGGCATAGTTCTAAAATAAATACCAAAATACGAAATGATATTTCGTTCAAACGCTACTTTTGACCAGTAATTTGAAAGAATTTCATTCATTTATTCACCTATTTACTTAGTAAATTGCTTGCAGTAGTCTAGAAAATTCCAGAGCAAAATTTACAGAATCTGAAAATTCTGCTTTTGACATCTTAGTTTAAGAACCAGGGAATGTGCTATAAATGGAGGGGGGAGGGGGGAAGGGCTATGACATGGTTTGATGTATTAAACTGTCAGAGCGAAAGTTTAACTGTTGGCTGGCCTATATTTTTAATGTTAGCTGTATGAAGACCCCCCTCCCCCTCTCTTCTCCCTCATATAGGACCTTACATTAAATCTCTTCTGTATTGTATTACCTGAAAACTGCATTTATCTAAACCAATCAGAATAAAGAATTTTTTCATGTATGTTTTCATTGCAAATCCTTAAGCTCAGGATAGAGCTTATTTCGATTGAGCATCGTAAAAGCGTGAAAACAAACCTGTAAAAGGAAAGTTAAAAAAGCGTTTAATAAAATCAGGGTAAAATCAGCTCTGTCTTCAAGCCATAAAGCTAGATAAGTAAAATAAAAATAATAAGGATAATTAAATAAACAGAAGCTCCATTATTTCCTGAAACTTTTCGTGACAGCGGAATTGAAACGAGCTGATTTCAAGAACTGGAGTTCCTCTGTACCATCATTTATCTCCTGAATTTACAAATCAAAAAGTAGAGCGCTCTAAAACCATAGCAACTAGAAAAAAAAAAGATAACGAAAACTTAGGGGCGCTAGAAAACATTTATAGAGGAAGACAAACAGGAGTTAAACAGGAGGCCAAACGCCCAATAAAAGAAAACAAAATATCAATTGATGAAAAGATATCGTGTCATTAACTGTTCGAGCAGATGTTTGCAAATCCTGTGGAAAAGCTTTATGTTGCGTGTCTGTGGCATCGCGAGATCGTGTATCACAATGAAAATCACTACTCTTTGAGCTTCAAGAATAAGATAGCTTTTTTTCTATTTATCTGCCAATT